GCTCTTCCGATCTCCCCAAAACCCCAAAACCCCGCAAGATTTTTATCATCAGGCTTTTTCGATATAATAATCTAAAATAATTAAATATTCATTAATTAGTATTAAAAGTAATGTCTTAAAATACACAGATAGAAAGGACTGAGTAGGATCAGAGCAAAAAGCAATAAAGAAGGAAAGTTGAGAATATTGAAGAGATTAAAGACTCTGAGAAAACTCAACTCAATAGAGCATACACTATCTGGGCATTTATGAAAACCCCAAAGACAGCCAATGACAATTATGACTCTTGTCTTAGACAAGCATCATCCTTCTCAACAGTATATACAGTGTGTTTTTATATCATTTTTTTATAGGTGGAAGATTTTTGGGCATAATACTCTCACTTTAAGAGACCCTCTCTCATGTCATTTGGAACATTCATATACATCGTAAGTATAGTTAATATCTTACACGCTTATTTAGTTTGAGGAAGGTATTAAGCCAATGTGGGAGGATGAAAATTGCAAAGATGGTGGTAGATGGAGTTTGAGAGTACCAAAAACTCACACTAACAAGTACTGGGAAGATATTACACTCGCTCTAATTGGGGAGGCATTCACTCATGAAGGAGAAATCTGTGGTATCGCACTGTCGCTCAAGCCAGTTAATGACATCATCTCAGTCTGGATTAGACACGGCAAAGACCAAGAGAAGATTGATCAAATAAAGACTGATATTGAAAGAATGGTAATGTTTGATGAGAACACAATGAGACTTGAGTATGAAAACTTCCAGGAAGTCCTATCCAGACCACCAGTAGAGAAAAAAGAGACATTCAATAGAAATTACCATAAGGGAGGAGATCAGTAATAATAAGAGAATGGAGGCCACAGCGAAGACAAAGGATTTGAGAGAAGACTTTAAGACAATGGTGGTGGCTTTCAAAGAGGTAGAGGCAGAGGAAGAGGCGGCAGAGGTGGTCAAAACCAATGATCGCTTGAATAAATATAAATATTACTAATTAAAGCTAATAATCATTTTGATAATTTACATCTCAGCACTTAGTTACTTTTATACATTACAGATGCCACTCATGCCTCAGTAACTTTATCTATAAGATCATTCAACAGACTCTAAATGATTTCTGTCTCAACAATTGTATTTGATTCTAAATTTTCTTACAGCGACTCAATTTATTATTATTTGACTTCTTCCTGAGCAGGCTCCTTTTCACCTTCAATCTATTGCTCTTTTTCCTATTATTCAGACTCTAAGGGTAGATTTTATTCTAGAATATTATTTTAATCTACTTTCTCCTCCTCAGTTGTAATGCATGCACACAGGACATTAATAGTACTAGAAATTTCTTCAGATTCATATTGAATTTATTAGCCTGGATTTTATTCTTCAATAAGCTTTATAACATCAGAAACATCAGACACTGAATTAAAATTCAAAGTTTGCATATTATCACTCATCTAATCAATAACTCAATAGTACTTCATCTCCTTCAATAATTTCTGATTTATCATTTTACTATTCGGTTTTAACCTCCGTCTACTGAGAGATCTCAACTTCAATACTCATTTATAGCAAATTAACTTGGAATTCTTCAATTTAAATCTGTGATTCCTATGTTTCAGATAAATCTTAGGGCATTGTTTACTTATCATTGACTTAAATATCTAATTCATGGATTTTTTACTCTAGCTCACTTTTTTTATTAGGACTATCCTATAATAAGATATTTTGAGATACCTCAATTTAGGTCTCTTATTGCTAAGGTAAATCCTACTCATATAGCTTTATTTCATCTTATTCATCACCTTCTTGCATTACAACATTAATATCAGCTAGAATGTCACTAACATCACGAATATCCAGTTTGAGATGTTTCATCATTAGTCTAAGTTCCTTAAGTTCCTAAATAAGACCACCATTTTCATGCTTTTTATAATGATTATCTAGCACTTCACTTAGAACCATTCTTACATTTATTATTCTATCCCTTTATAGATCGCAAAAGTCTTTAATTAGATATTTCTAGAATAGTTCTTTTGCATTCATCATTGATTCACAAATGTAAATGAAAGTTTATCTGAGGTTGTATCTATTAGATTATTTTAAGAGAATAACTTTGCTGATGAATTATGTAAATAGTTCTTCATTTTCATTTAGTTTATAAGCTAAGTTTTTAGCAGCTCTGGCAGCTTCTATTCTCACTTCAGCTACTTGATCCTAGCAGAGCAAGAAAAAAATCGGTACATAATATTTATTGACATTTACTGAAGAGAAGATCTTTGAAAATTTTCTAACCTGTGTGGCTTATATTACTCTTTTTCTCCATTGAGATGGATCTATTTATGTTTGAGCTAACTTATCAATGTAAGTCTCTCTTTGTTCAGGTTTTAAAACTTCTATGAATTTAGGCAAATTCTCTGTAACACCTTCTTTAACTTCAATCTAATCTCTTAAAAAGAGATTTAGAACAGGCATAAGCTCTCTCTCTGCAATTTCTGGCCCAAGGATTTTAGCAATCTCATGTAAACTAAATGCTAGTGTTCTTCTAACTTTTATTCTGCTGTCTTTAACTAATAAGTCATGAACTGGCTGTAGCTTTGTCCAAGATTTTGCCCCTAGAGTTTATAAGACAGCTGGGAAATTATAGGCACAGTGATAGGGGACTTCATTATCTGGCTGAGGACTTTTGTTTTATTCGCACATATTTATATAATAGTCAACAAGAAGTGGATTTGGATCAATGCCCTCATAAGAAGCAATAAAAGGTCCTAGAAATTGGAAAGTTGCCATTTTAACCCATTTTGATGAATCTTAAGAGAACTTTTTAAACATTTCAATTAGTATGCCATTTTTAATTTCTATTGGACAGAGATTTGATATAAATGGTAATTACTCCACTGCAGATCTCCTTACACCCCAAATTTAGTCACCAGCGAGTTTCTTAAATACAGGAAATAGAATTCCTAAGAATATCTCCTTGCCTAGCACCTTGGAGATATTTATCATTCTCATTACTGTTTCTTTGCGGACTCTGTAGATAGGATCATCCTAAAGTGACACGATTTCATACATTAGAAAACTCTGGCAAATTTCTTTTCCCATTTATTCGGCAAGTCTATCAACTAATTCCAATCCTAGGATTCTTCTCTCTTCATCGCTATCATCTCTAATGTTTTCTAATATTATTGGTAGAACCTTCTCTGCTCTATCTTCATGAGTCATTATTTTAGAAACTTCTACTAGAAGTGAAATCACTTCTTACTATAATTCTTGCTTAATAGTCTCATCAATTTTATCTGATTGAAAGAAATGATTAAAGAATGGCATTATAAAATCTCTGATTCCATTATATCCATCTGTAATCTTGCTCTAATAAAAACTGATTAAATATTTGGATTAAAATACTGAGGCTAAAAAGTCAATGAGTCTTTTCAGATTTGCGAATATCAATTTTATGTAGTCTTTGTCATTCTAACCATCATCTTATTTGAACTATATATGAATTATCCTGAGAATTAGGCTTACAACTTCATTAAGTGCAGGAAGTAAATGCTCAACAGTAAGGCTAACCCCTAATAGCTCTGCCACTTCCATATATCTTTAAAGAAATCTCCTTCTCTCAATAATTCCTGATTTGTTATTAGGTGCTCTTTACATCATCTTTATTTCATCAAGAGAATCTCTGATTGATTCAGATAGTCTGATATCATTTTCAATGAAGTCTCCTCCAAGATTATTAGCGTTCATTTTTATTGTCGTACTTAGAGTCTCTAAAAGTTTATCGATTTCCTCATCAACATATTCATCGCTCATCATTCTTTGAAGCAAAGACTTATCAAATTCATCGTCCTCCACTTCATTCCATTTATGGACTTCAATCAATATATTTTATCTTAAAGTCTCAACTTATTATATCAATGTATTGAGAGTTTGAGTTGATGCTAAATTGCCACTAAGCTTTCTCGGGGTAGCTCCTCCATCAGAATTTTAGGATGCCAAATTTGGATCATATGAAAACAGCAAAGTCTCCTCTACATAAATATCTTCATCGCTATTTTTCCTTTTGTTGTTGCCAGGTGATTGAAATGTTTTAGCTTGAGCCAATTAATAGACATTTAAGTTCAGGAGCTCATCTATAATTGTTAAGATATCAATAGATTGAAATATAATTACTTAAAGCCTTTTGATCAAGTAAATGGATTTACTATTCGCTCTGATATAAATTGTTCTTCTTGTCTTTTTAATCAGTTACAGCTTCTAGCTTCATTGTTATGGCTTCATGTTATTCAAGATGAGGCCGCTAAACATAAGGTTATTGACTGTAAATTACAGGAGTATTGCCATTGCTAGAAAATCCAAAGGGCGATGGGGTATTGTTTATATAAGTGTTTTAAGTATTCATCATTTTTTCAATTATAAGACTTATAATTATTAAATTATTATATTTGAGTTGCAAAAAAATGAATAAAGAGAGATCTACTTCTAGAAAATTGAATCAATCTTTAGACTATTCTAATGAGTAGTAACCTTACTCTTCTCGAAGTAATCAGCCGACCAATAATTAGCCCCTTGGATTCTTCGCTTAATTGCAGTAATCAATCTTCGGGAGTGGCTAAGGGAACTAGAATGCAAATCAACAATTGAACAAATCCTAGGATTCATATGTACATTCCCAGTCTCTATCAATCTCAGGGGGTAAATCGAATGTGCAGATTTTTATTGATATTTTCTACAAAAACTATACGAGAGTCTTAGTTCAAGACGAAACAACTGCAGGCGAGATTGTTAAGAATCTCAGGTAGAAATACGCTAATAGTTAGCCTGGTGTGATTACTTCTTAGACCACAAATACCTCAAGTAAAGGCTTGCATCTAAGTAGCAGTAGTAACTCAATAGGCTCAAATTCTTCAAGCATCGATAGACACCAGTATTATTAGCAGTCATCTGCAAGCAGTCTAAATTCAAGCTAAACTAATGTAAGTGCTTATGGGAAAGTTGGATCTTAAAGTAAGAATCAGAGAAATGAGGCATTCAAGGATGAATATGGTCTTTTTCTGATTAACACCAAGGCTTAGAATCCGATGCTCTTCGTCAGAAAACTCAGTCCTTAGGACTATGTATTTCGAATATATTTCAAGGCATTGGACTCATTCAAGAAAGACGGTGAAGAAAGATTTAAACTTTGCTTTGTTAAGAACGCCGATATTGAGACGCTAATCAGGTCAAAGGGAGTGTTTTCGAACATGTATGATGAGGAAAATCATGTGGTATCGCAGCTCGGAAAAAGCATCATTAACAACAGTAGGTTATTAACATCTTCTTAAATGCCAATCTATAGAAACCTATGAAAGAAAAGGCAAACTCTATAAAAAGAGTTTGAATTAGGACGTGTTCAAGGAACGTCTGTTTGTTCTAGATAAGGATCAACTATTCTACTACAAAAATGAAAAATAGAGTAAGTGACTTCCATATAATTAATATATATCATTTGCTAGAGGAGAAAAATTTCAATCTGATTATGCTGAGTAACGCTACAATATAAATAATTCAAATGACCAAACTGACTAAGTAAAAGTACTGCTTTGAGATAGAAAATGATAACCGAAAGTACATACTGAGTACTAAGTCTTAGTACGATCTAGATCAATGGGTATATGCGATACAAGGATAGATTAGACTATCAAGAGATAATAAAAACATAGCAGATGTGAATCTATCAATCGTACAAAAGGAAAAGGAGATAGCATAAGTTGATATGCTGACAATTCAGAAGATATTTAAGCCTAAGAATGTTATCTTTAACCCAACACAGCCAATATTACTTGACTTTATAAAGGATCCATTCATCACTGAGCTCCTGCCTAATCTTACTAAGTATGTCAATTTAGTCTCAGAAAAAGAATACTAGAGGCATGCATTGGAGAAGGCAAAAGACATTATTTCAAATCTAAAATAATTGTAATAAAAATTGCAGAAATCTCTCGGGCATTCTAATAGCTTTGATGAATATGAAATCGTATAAAAGGAAAGAGAAAGTTAAGAAGGCATTCAACTCCAAAGATTCCATTCAACTTAAGTTTAAGTTAATTAAGCATAGGATGACTATAAGAGGTATAAAGATCTAAGACCAGAATAAAAAATTCAGCAGATATTCTCAAATGATGATTTCTAATCGATTGATGCTGAGTTTTAAAAGATGATAGCTGACAGTCATGATCAATCGAAGCCATTTATAATGAACCCAAGACTTTTCAATAATATTCTCTTGAAAATAAACAGGATAATCAAGTACAACTATTTGGAAGAATTTTTCCAGAATAAAAAAATTGAGCTACTCTCTGTACCGACATTAAACTTTAAATAAAATATGCCAAAGATGGAATTTAATGCAACTGGATAAAATGCAGTGCTAAGAGGAAACAAAAATATCAATATTTTTGAAAATATTTTGATTAAAAAAGCATAAAATCTTCAGAACTCTAGAGCCCCACAAACCTAACTCGACCCAGCCTTCTAAAATCAACTTAAGATCTTTCTAACTAATTTATAGTAAGAATAAAAGGTTAGCAGCTAAGCTTATGATGACAGAGGCAATATGAGTAATATATCTGGTATTAGTAAGGTAACTAACGATGAATTGGTAAGAGTGAAAAAATGAATTTAGTGAGTTTCTAACTCTGAAATATATGGAGGGTCATTTTGATTTATTTCTAGCTATCAAGATGCGCTTATTATATAATTCATCCCTTTAAATATCTAATGTAAAACAGGTGGTGTTAGTTTGTTTTAGTATATATTTTTTAGTAAAATTATATCTCTTATAGTAAATCATATTACTTTTATTTCTCATTATACTTCTTATTTTAATGCTCATGGGGTTTTGGGGTTTTGGGG